GATAGAACATTCAACAAATTATTCAAAATAAAAGCTTCTCTTCCTTAACTCATCAAATATCCCCCTGCTGCATAATCAGCACTGAACACAGATGTAGACTATGTCATGTATTGGGTAATGTATGTGTCTTACTTGGTATAAAAAAAAAAATCACACATTGTTTTAGGAAGCAATTTAAAAAGACTGTATTAGTTGGTGAACAAAGGTCAGAGGGCCTTTTAAATGGGCATCTGGCAGACAACACTGTAGGAACAACACTGTCCCAACAGATGCAGCCCAGCGTATCAGATGTATTTAACTAATTTCTGCCTCTAGGGTAATGAGTGTTGTGAAATATAAGTAACATTAATGAAATATATGTGGTCTTCTTGACTGTGGGCTTCATTTTCCAAAATCAAACAAATATAGGCTATACAGCACAACACATTTAACCCATGGAAACATAGGTCCTGTTTTACTATAAAAGTAAATTTGTATCCGTTAGTTATAAACTGAGCTTCTGCGGATCATTTTCTGGATTAAACAGTAAATAGTTTGGTCTATAAAATGGTAGAAAATAGTGAAAAATCCCTATCACAGTTTAATCGAGCTCAAGGGGATGTCATCAGATGTTTTTTTTTGGTCTGGCCCCCAGTTCACAGCCCAAAGAGAGTCTGTTTAGGGTTGTATAAAACAGCAAATTGTCAAAATAATTTTTAGTTGTAGCCCAAATACAGTATATGTATGTTTACTGGAAGGTTTCATGTTCTTATATAATTTAAACACATTTAATCCACTTCTGTTAAATAAAATTGTTTTCTTAGCTTCATCATTTGGCCTCAACTGCAGCCTAAGCATACACACAGAGAAACATGATGGAGCCACGCAATCCAGGGATATCCTCCATCCCTCAGACAGCCCCAGTACACAGCGAGTCCAGCTCCCCAGCTGTAGAGATGGACCCAGTGGAGTACACCCTTAGGAAGCGCCTCCCGTGGAAACTCCCAAAGAGACGAAATGACGTCTACGTCAACATGAAGACTGATTTCCGAGCTCAGCTGGCACGCTGTCAGAAGCTTCTGGAAGGCGGAGGTCACAGGGAGATCTGTGTGCATGGCCTGGGCCTGGCCATCAATAGGGCGATCAACATCGCCCTTCAGCTGCAGGCCAGCAGCCAGGGGGCGCTGCAGCTGGCAGCCAACACCTCCACAGTAGAGCTCGTGGACGACCTGGAGCCTGAAGATCCTGATGAAGCTGGGGAGCCTATGACGCGTACACGTAACAACTCAGCTATTCATATTAAGGTTTTCTACCCTGATACCCCGTAACCTCATTAGTCTTCTAGTTTGTTCCTTCATAATCCAGTAGAAGGATGATGATGTTGTCTGTTGGGACTGTGTGTGAGGATCTATGATGACAGCAGCAGAGGACTGCAGAATGGAGCAACCAACTTGCAGTGTGTTTATCAGTATAAACAGTATAGTATGCTCATTTTTCAACTGCAAGTTACTGTTCTTTTTTCATTTTGCATGTTGAGGTGGCAGTGTTGTTCACCAGGTGAAACCTCAGTGTAATTTAACATTTGTAGACCAGGCTATGCCAAACATAAATGTACATGTGTCTTTAAGAGTCTGTGCAAGTGTTTACAATTTTATGTCTGTGTGTTTTTGAAGCTACAAGTAATTAGAAAAACGGAGAAATCCCATGTTTATATTTTAAGCAGGCGATGTTGTGGGAAAGATCCACTAGATGTCAGTAGTCATCCACATGGCCATACCAGGATGGTCTCCCTCTGTAGCCCAGTTTCTATGGCACCATATCACGATGTATTGTCAAAACCCGTTAATAGTGTGGGTTCAGCCGAGGGTCTGGGATATTGTTAGACTCAGTTTAAATTTGGTTTAATATTGTTGAACTGCAGGGTGTGTTCATTTTGTCCAACAGTTTTCTTGAAGATGTGATTTCTGGATGAAAATAAAATTAGCTAGAATGTATTTTCTGCTGTCTTCTCTGAATCGGGGACAGATTTGATCAGGATTAAGTTGTACGGTAGCAGCCTGCATTCAGCATCTGAACTACTGAAGCTTGCATGTTAAATCAACAAAATGCACAAACTTCCCCTTGTTGTGTTTCCATCAGTCCTTTTTTATCCAAGAATAATATTTTGTATTTAAATAGCAAATTATATAGAGATGAGACAAAACAAAATAACAGGAAATAAAACATGTACAAACATCCTTAAAAAACATCTTGCACTTGCACAACAAGATATAAATATACAGCGGGAATAAAAACAAGGAAGAAGTTTTAACTAGTCCGAGACAATTGAGCTTCCATTTTGTAGAAAGCCTTATGTTGTCAGGACTAACTGATTGCCTGCTGTCTGCTTGATGACAGACAATAAAGGGAGAGAGGAGACAGTGTTAGCGTCAGATTCCGGAAAACTATTTGCAATTACAGCCTCACAGGATGTTAAATGTAAAAGCCAAACAGCATTTTTTTTCTCAGCCTGCCCACTAGTGTGTTGAGATGGGTCGAGTGTTGGTTAGGCAGCAACAAAAACAGGTAATGACAAAACGGCTTCACAGTTCTCATGTAACCCCCACCCATCAACTCATTGACCTCTTGCTCCCTTGTTAACTGAACCTCTGCTTTTTAGTCCTGGGTTCTATTACATGGAAGGTACATGCAGTGTGGAACTGTGTCAGAAAATACCTTTGCAAAAGTGTTAGTGTTAGGCAAGAGAACATGGCAATGAGAGCCCAATTACATGTTTAAAGATCAAATGGTAAAAAATACAGAGACTGGAACCTAAAAGTAGAAAATCTGTATAAATAGTAATGACAACTTTTAAAAATATATTAAACTATACACTGAAAAAATCTAAGAGAAGAGACTGTTTCTGTGAGGCAGAGCTAAAAAATATTAAAGGCTTGTGGGGTGAGTCCCCATACATTTTTGCAGCGGTATTGGAAATGGATGCCTTGTCGCAACCTCAAAGTCCTTCAATTTCCAGGTGCAATGAATATTTTATGGGTGTTCCACTCCACAGTTCCCCTGAAGAGGTGAGTGTATGGAGTCAGTCTTACTGGAAACAAACACACTGCTGTACATGCAAATTAGAAACTTGCAGTCTGAACTCACACATGCAAAAGTACATCCACACAAAGTGCAAGAGAGTGCCAGTAGAACAGCTATTGGAGCAGTGCTTCCGAAAGGCCTAGTTTTGGCCAGTGTGCTTCACCATGTCCATGTGTCACACCTGCAGTTCTTGTCCATCCAAAGCCTAGCTGGAGCTATACTTTTGGCTTTTTCCTCTTAGTGAAGATGGCTGTACCTTTCTCTTTCCACACCGTTTCCAGCAGCCAGTGTGCAGTTCAACAGTGTCGGGTCCCTTTTCTTGCCTTCGGAAACACAAATTAGCTTTGCCTGGTGTAGGGAGATGAGCGAATCAGCTGAGATCTTGCTGACAAGCCTGTGCATCCAACAGGAGGAGGCGCACTTTTCCTCGCAGAAAGTTGACATGGACTTGAAGCAAATCTGTAGCTGAGGACACCCTCCATGTTCCCTCAAGCTCTGCTGCACTTGCTGATGGGGTATATTCCTGAAAGGGAATGCAAAGCAAAGAAACATGTTATTCTTTCAAAAATGTTTGAAATCTTTTTTTTTTTTTTTTTTAGGTGCTAGATTTTTCCTAGTCGGAGTAAGTAACACCACAGAAATAATTTCCAGATACCCACCCATTCCCACTAGGGCAGTCTTACCTGTTCTTGGGAAATATGTTGATGTTGATAATGTTTTGGTTTTGACAAAATCAATGCATAATCTTTCCAGGCTTGTTCTGTTTTTTTTTTTTGTCTTGTTTTTCATGGGTGTAAGAACCCTGTTAACCATTCCCACTTTACAGTAATGAAACTTTTATTTAATTGACCCTTGAGCTTGGACACAGACTGCTCATTCAGTGTTAGTTGCCCTGTCCACAAGGTCTCTGTTTGGACCTGAATAATTTCAAAAGCTGTGTTGTTGCAACCTCCGCACGAACCAACTTGTACAAGGACATCAGTGGCGAAGGCCTTGTCACAAAGGCTCAGTGTTGCACTTCAAAAGGATGTCCCATGACATCCCCAAGTTTGTCTGTCACCAGAGAAAACACCATTTTAAGGAGCCAATCATGGAGGCGCTCTCGGCAGCTAAAAATCCAGAACGGTGGCTGTCAGACTGCAAACAGTTCATTTGATTCAGATGTGATATGAGTTGGTATCTAAAGTGTTTTGGTGACCAAGCATGGTCATGATTTTACCTTTATATTGAATTAACACAATTTTTAATTTTGGAGTAATTTTGACCTTTGTGTAACGTCAGCAGTAACCTCAACGTTTGGCTTGGCAACCTAACTCATTATGTAATGCTAGCTTTGGACTGGAGGCTACATTTGGTACAGTTTTATGTAACCAGGCAAAGAGCAGTTAGGAGCAGCTTAGGGAGTTGTTTTGTGTGTCAGTAGACTAGCAGAATGAAAAGAAATTAGGTAGAGTAGCTTTAATTTAAGAGAGATGAACCACTTGGAGAGGTGGATGCTAATGTTTTCAAAGGACAAGCTATAGACGAGTAGAGTGTGGCTTCTCAGAGCAGTATCTCTGACTTAACTGACAGAAGTATAGTAGGTAATGATTATAAAGAGCATGCACATGCCCAGCTTTCATCTTTCAATGGGACTTAAAGGATTCAAACCAGTTAATTAAAGTTTTTAAAGTTAACCAGTTGCTCCAAGCTGCTACAGCTCCACAGCTGCTATAATCTGTTGTTTCTGAATTTCTGTTTCTGAACTTCTGTATCTCACCTGGATGTTGAGGCTGCGTAGCACAGCACTGATGCTGAACAGGTTTCTGATGGAATTATCGATGTGACTGTGTAGCGCTGCATTGGTGACCGAGGTCTGGAAAAAGCCGAAGGCCTGTTGTAAAAGCCATAAGCCAGACTGCACGTCCTGAGCTTGCTCCAAAGCCTTGACAAAATAATCAAAAATTTAAAAAGAAGAAGAGAGGGCAAAAATTAACAAGAGTTACACGCCCCCCCAAAACTTAGCATGTATCATGTATATAATACATATCATATATATCAGCATTATATACTAGGTATACTGTATAGAGGAAACTAAGTCTGTTGTCAGTTGTTTTAATGGGCAGCTATGGTCATTGTTCAGTTACTTACATTTTTCTTCTCCCAGACATCAAAGTCAACTCTGGTTTGTGGAACAGTGACAGGCTCTGACAGGCTGCATCCTTCTCTACATGATTTCTAAGAAAACAACAGAGAAATTGTGTTTGGAAATGTTCAGTATTGGTGCTTCCCGGACCACAAGATCTCAGCAGCAGGCTTCTCCTGCTCTTAAGTCTTACATGCATACATTTTCCTCTCACCATAGCGACTTCTGCGTCTCGTGCTTCCTTAATGAAATGGTTCAGGACCCTCAGGTCACAGATCGGCCTCAGCGGGGATGGTAGGCCTGGCCGGGTCCACTCCAAGACTATCAACAGCAAGGCAAGCAGTCCTGTCATCACAAATACAATAGACACATAAATACAGTCACTCCAAGGCTGTTGGACTTCCAAATGGCATGGAAACAAGCAGATATGCACTTGTAAGAAAGCAGCAGCAGCAACCTTGGCAAGCCTTCTTCAGAAACTGTGCTTCCTCTGATTTGATTTCATCTCAGTGAGAACAGTACCAATATGTACCAATGGATATTACTGAGCAGGACCCCTTTGACCAGTATGCAAGCAGTCGTTATTTTAATGGTATACACAATAAATGTAGGCATTTTTATTGTGTTTTCTACATACTATGTACAGCTAGCTAGATGGATAAATAATGTCCCTGCCCTTGTTTCTGCTGCATGATTTTCTGGCCCTATTACTTGTTCTGGACATTTTTATGCTCAATCCAGTCTTCCGTCCATCCCTGGTTTTCCTCCCAGCTCTGCCCTGCACACCTGCCTCCCATTCCCTCCTTGCCCAGTCCAGATATCCACACCCAACACACCTGTTTTCACTTTCCTGTTTAGCTCCCTCTTCTTCCTTTGTTCTTTGCCAGACTGTGTTTATGCTTCTCAGCCTCTGTGTTCATACCCCCTGTTTGTTCCTGTTTTCCCAGAGTTAACATGTTTGGTTTGGAATCACCTGTGTTTGGACTCTGTCTCTCACCTACTCCCTCAAATTTATTACTTGGCTCAGACTGTTTAAATGTCTCTGACCTCCACTCGGACTCTGACTCTGCCACGGATTACCCCTGCTTGGTTTTTGTCACCACTGCACACAGTAAGCCTTGCTTGTTCTTGTTTTAGTAAACCAAAGTGTTCTACTTTAGACTGTCAGTCTGCCTGAGTCAGCATTTGCCTCCCTTCCTGCCCATTGTTACTGCACTATCCATGACAGATACATGCAGTAGAATAGATACAGTATATGGTAGCTCCAGGAGATGCATATGATGGATACAATGGATGGATGGAAGGACACAAATTTGAAGTTTAGCACAGTGAAGTCAATGGGGTATGGAGGGAAATTAGGGGACATTAAACAGGAATATGCATATCTGCCAGGTTACCTTCAGCAATGAACATTACTATTGTAAAAATGTGAGTCGTTTAATTTCTGCCAGCTCTAGATCTCATCAAAGCAAAGTCAGACTAGCCAAAAAAAATCCACTTTATCATTTGATTTTTCACATTCTAAATGTATGAAAACCTTAATATCTTAGGAACAACTTTCTTTGGTAATGCATCTATTTACGTTCAGAATCATGAGAATCAATATTGTATTATGTATGTCAACCAATTTTCTAAACAATATTGCATTTTCTGTCAGTTACAAAACAGCACCCTTTGAGTTCCTAGGGATACTGCTGCTAGTGCTTGCATTTATGACTGCTGTTTCATAAACATTGCATATGAGAAATTTCTGTACATAGGTGTCACAGATATGCTAATACAGTATAAACATCACATATCAGCTGATGGTGGTTTGTTTTAGAGCTGTATCATATAAAATGAGCATGATGTCATGAATCAGTAAGATTCACTAGTAGTTTATTCCTTCTATTTCATTCTTGTATGTGAGACTTAGGAAACCACGTGATTAGTTGCATATCATGACACAGCAGCCTGGACATGTGACACAGAGGGATGAGAGAAAAAGCAGATGATTGTACCTAGAAAATAGGTCAGATACCAGCTACGCTGCAATCACAGGGTATGTGCCATGGAAGGATATGAAGAAATACTATTATCAGTGTTGGTCCTTAAGAGGTCAATAGTATGATCAGCCTAGGTTCCATACCCCCACATGATGCTGTCACTGACATGTAGGCTCCAGTCTGTCTTTAAAAGTGCATGTCTGACTCATATCACCCCCTGTTTTAGAGAATGTGGACATGATGGTATGCTGCATATTGTTCCAGCTAGTAACTGCTCCATGCACAGTAACAGTACTGCAGAATCCTTGTTAACTTGAGCGAGCACTTATAATCCCTGCCATCTAGTAGATGTGAACATACATGTAAATAAATGGCATTATCTAGCATGCAGGAAATGAATGCTGAATGGGACTAATTAAAAAGCATTTCAAACAGAATAAATCCTACAACAATCTACTAAGAGGCTGCTCCATGTTGGCTACACACTGGTGGACCTTTGTACATTTAAATAACTCAAACTTTACATTTCTGTGCATATGGTCGTCTTGAGACCTCCTATAATGCTGTTTTTTTTTCTATGATATCATTCAAGAGCAAAACATGATCAACTCTGTGGTCCCAAGTATATTTGAGATGTGCACACTTGAATAATCTTTAAAATATATCAATTTGTGTAGCATTTTTCAGAGTCTGAGTGATGTCTGTACAGACAACCCAGTGGCCTCGTTTCCATATATGTTGACATCTATCATTATCCAAAACCCGGGCACTTTGTTAAATAAGTGTGTGTGACTCATCTTGAGGATTATCGTGACCTTTTCACCTCTGCCAACGCCTACGTGAGAATGCATCAATGTAAAGTGTGCATGCACATATGTGCACTCTCTCTCTACATTCTCACCATGGTGGTGGAATTTGCAGTCCAGGTCTGTGGCCAAGCTAAAAGGCAACAGCTCTGTCTGCCAACATGAGCTGCCAAAACCATGCTGCTATTTTAAATTGGAAACAATAGTCAGCATGTGGCTGTGCTTTGGATAATACCAGGCTTCACTCCAGATATGTGACCAATGCTTTGGAAAGGTGGCTGGATGCTGAGATGACACCTTTGACACGTCCTATTTTAACCAACTTGTGCTAAACTGGTGCACAGAAAGAGCTCAGTTATTTAACCCAACTAGCTGGTTACACAGAGAGCTGATAAAAACTATTCAAAGTACATCTCAGCCATGGGATGGTTGCTTATGAATGCTTTGTGACCTCTATTTTGAATGGATCTTCCCACTGAAAAAGTGCAGAGTTGTAAATAAGTAGCTATCAGATGACACAGGTGTGGCATAATTTCCTGTCTGGTTCCGCTGGAATCCCTTAAAGCTGTCAGCCTTTGATAACCTTGTGCTCTTTTCTGCTGACATAAGTGTGACGACTGTGACAGAAGCTGCGCATTCAGTCTGCTTAACTTTCCAATCTGCTGTGTCATGCTAGAGAAGAATGACTGCAGACTTTCCCCCCCTCCTGTGGAACAAGCCAGAAAAATAAATTGAGACTCAGCAGTTTTTCCGCAGTGCCTGACAGTCACAGGAAACAGTCCATTTTTCAGCAAGAGTGGGAATGTAACATGCAACACCGGACGTGGTGCCTTGCTCCACTCAGTAAGGCTCAGAACCAACAAGAAACCTTGCATCAGTTTCGCCAGCAGCTTCAAATAGTTTCAGTATCCATCATCTGACAGTGTGCCTTCTTTTAATAGTGAATTTCTAATAGCTTATCTGATTGACTAATTACAGGATTATAGTTTAACAGCTTTTGTTAATATTATAAAAACGATTTCCATGAATGTAGTGAGTCGTGTAGTATGAAGAAATGTTTTAGAAACCGGTACGAAACAAATGAAAAGGCAACTTTTAAGAAAACGCACATAACTACTCCCAGACAGCAGAGATGCCGCACTATAATCTCACGGTTCAATAGTCAAACACAGAATGGTTGTATTCATATATCATCATCGACATAAACCTGTAATAAAATCCTGAGCATACAGTCCAGCAACACACAGGTATGCACACAAAGTAGCGCGCCAGGCTGGATCATATTACGAGCGCTCTTACCTCTACCCGTTTTTTGCAACATTCGCAAACCGGTGCCGCATCTTTCATAAGCATCGTGAAAAGATTAAATATATGCAGAAACTTCCCGGCTCAAGTTCACCATTCAAATCCAATTAGTCCACCGTACAACCAAGTGCGCCGGTCCTGGCACTAGTCCGACCGGCTTTTAAGTCCGTGTCAAAAAGATCCGCGCTGCTGGTGAGAGTAGTCGCTTACTACACTTTCTCACAGCTGTGCTTTGGCAAAACCTTTTATTTACCTCCCCAAAGGATATAGCGATAACGTGATGGCCCGCAAGAACGAGGACGCGCCTTTTACGCACCACTGTGAGCGATTAAACATCAACCCATGCATGCAGACCCTCTTTGCGTAAAGCGTGAATATAGGCTAACTACTAAAGCCGGTGTACATACAAAAATTACGAAGGCATGTCTATAACTCACTAGGAAACTCCATAGCGGTGTCCGCATAGCCCCTCACAGGGTCCTCGTGGTTTGGCTCATAGGTCCGTCTATTGCCCATTAATTGGAAACGAAGCTCTTTTGTGGATCTCCTGCACTTATCCGGTAGGTGTTTCTAAAAACTGATCCTGTTTTGTTTTTTATTGATTACTTTGAAAATAAAGTCACATTGTTTCTTTGACAATCTCAACTATCTCCTCCCTTAAGGCAAAATGTTTTCTTTCATTGTGAACCAAATAATGGGCTATAGCTGTTTATTAAACATTTGGCCTTTACAAGTAAATAATGCCTCAAAAAAGCGGCGCAGACACTTCCCATTCATTGTTCAGATGGTTTCCAGAAGGGGTGATTCCAGCAGTATATTTTCAAAAAACTGATAGTGTAAATATTGATACATACAGTCATGGCCAAAAGTCTTGGTACCCCTGCATTTCTGTCAGATAAGGCAGCACTTCAACCAGAAAATTGTTGCAATCACATTCTATGTTATCCCTGTGTTTATTTCTTTTGTTTGTATTGGAACAAGACAAAAAAGCAGAGAAACATTCCAGACAGAACTCCAAAAGTGGACTGGACAGAATTATTGACACGTTTTCAAAATCATTAGAAATAGTTGTATTTCAGGCATGTGATGATCCTTTTGTAATGAAACTCACCTGTAACAATCAACAGGTGCTGGCAATGTAGAAATCACACATCATTTAAAATGTAGAACAGTTGACTCAACCTTTGTGTCATGTGGACCACACTGAGCATGGAGAAAAGAAAGAAGAATTGTCTGAGGATTTGAGAAGCACAACAGTGGAAAAGCCTGGACAATCTCAAGGCTCCAAGTCCATCTCCAGAGATCTGGCTGTTCCTGTGTCCACTGTGCGCAACACTGTCAAGTAGTTTACAGCCCATGGTGCTGTAGCTAATCTCCCTGGACATGGACGAAAGACAGAAATAAATGACAGATTGCAATGAAGGATTGTTCAAATGGTGGATAAAGAACCTAGATCAGCTTCCAAACAAATTCAAGCTGACTTGCAGGCACAGTGTCAGCTCGCACTATCCGTCGCCATCTGGGACGCTATGGTAGGAAACCCAGGGGATCCCACTGCTGACACAAACATAAAAAAGCCAGACTGGAATTTGCCAAAACTTACCTGAGAAAGTCACAGTTCTTCTGGTAGAATGTCCTGTGGATAGATGAGAGTAAAGTAGAGCTTTTTGATCAAGCACATCATTCTTCTGTTTTCAGAAAATGAAATGAGGCCTTCAAAGAAAAGAACACAGCCCCGACAGTCAAACACGGTGGAGGCCCACTGATGATTTGGGGTTGCTTTGTTGCTTCTGGAACAGTGTGTGTATGGCATTATGAAATCTGAAGACTACTAAGGAATTCTGGGGCACATTGTTGGGCCCAGCGTCCGAAAGTTGGGTCTCTGTCAGAGGTCATAGGTCTTACAGCAGGACAATGACCCAAAGCAGACTTCAGAAAGCACCAGAAATGGTTTCAGACAATGAGCTGAAGAGTTCTGAAGTGACTGCAATGAGTCCAGATCTAAACCCCATAAAGCAGCTTGGAGGCATCTCAGAACAGCAGCTGGGAGAAGGAACCCTTCAAATCTGGGAGACCTGGAGCAGTTGGCAAAAGAAGAGTGGTCCAACATTTGAGTAGAGAGGTGGAAGAAACTCATCGATGGTTACAGGAAGTGACTGATTTTCACCAAATATTAAGTTGATGGTGTCAGTAATTTTTTTTTTTTTGTTCAAATGGAAACCAAAGAAATAAACTTGAGAATGCCAAAGAATTAGTTTTTTGGGAGAAGTAGTGCATTATCTGACAGAAATGCAAGGTGCCAAGACTTTTAGCCATGAGCATACAAAATGAGCAAATGGATGACAAAATATAGCAGTTTTTATTTAAAACTGCCCAGCATAGCATTCAGTAACGTGAACATCTGACATGAATCAATGTTAGTCTTAAACTTTTTTCAGTTTTTTCAAATATATTCTGTCTGCGCTGATTGATAAGCATAGTGCTGTGTATGCCCTGTTGCTGCTGAGATGCCACCTTGCCAGTCAAGCAAGGTGGTGATACATGCATCATGAGTACAAACTTGAACACACACACACACACACACACACACCTCCTTTCCAATGATGACACACCCACATACAAATTTGGAAATCATCCAAAACTTGCATCTGAATGTCCTGGTCATGTGCCTGTGAAATTCGTTGAAATTCGTTGAAACATTTTCAGGGCAATATTGGTTAACAGTATGTGCTGTTATACATTAGGAGCTACTGTGTGTTGGAATTAAAGGAAATGTGTCCAATTGTGTCCATGGTCATTGACATGAATCAATGTTAGTCTTAAACTTTTTTTCAGTTTTTTTTTAATATATTTCCAGAGTCTGCGCTGATTGATAAGCGTAGTGCTGTGTATGCCCTGTTGCTGCTGAGATGCCACCTTGCCAGTCAAGCAAGGTGGTGATACATGCATCATGAGTACAAACTTGAACACACACACACACACACACACACCTCCTTTCCAATGATGACACACCCACATACAAATTTGGAAGTCATCCAAAACTTGCATCTGAATGTCCTGGTCATGTGCCTGTGAAATTCGTTGAAACATTTTCAGGGCAACATTAGTTAACAGCATGTGCTGTTATACATTAGGAGCTACTGTGTGTTGCAATGAAAGGAAATGGGTAATGGGGTAACACTGGGAGAATGACTGAGAGGCTGATTGTTTAATTCCAATCTGAACCAATTAATCAGCCATTCTAATGAACTATGAATCCGTTAAAACAAGTATGCACTGATGTACAGCTCTAAAAGAGAAATCCTCAAGTGGTTTAAGGCAGCAGTAAATAAGGAAGTGAAAGAAATTAAAAGGTGAGAGGAAAAAGTGACAGAGGAGCAAGGAGAACAGTGACAGGAGAGCACAGAGAAAGAGGAGTCAGAACAAGGACAGAGGACTGGCACTGCGACATGCTTCAGATCATCCCTACGGGCATCATCTGACAACTCTGGACAGCAAAGCTGTTAATACCTGCTTTGAATACTAATGCCCGAAGCTGGTGTTAAAGGTCCACTACCAGTCAAATGTGTAGTTACACTTTCCCTTTGAAATGAATTGTGTCCAGACACTTGACTGGCAGTGTATAAATCACATGGTCAAATGTAACCAGGGGTATTAACAAATGTATAGGGACAACAATGGATGAGTTTATTATTTTGCGCACTACCTAGAAAGTCCTTTTTATGTGGTATCGTGATAATTTTAGCACATATTTGTTTAAATTTAGTTTGCACAATTTAAGACATTTGAAGACATAAGTCAACCAAATTGTTCTGATATGATGGATGCTTTTAAAATTCTTAGAAAGTATTTTTTGAAAAATGCAATAGAGTGCAGAAACTTGGGCAATCTGGGACAAGGAGCACTGAAGCCAGAGGTCCACAGACGCATGACACTATGTTGGTTTGAACTTTAGTCTGGCACCTTTCTTTATATGTTTAGCCCTGAAGATAAGCGCGTGCCCTGTGCTCTCGCTGCTGCCTTCTTGCTGTATTTATTTTGCACCCATGGTTGCATGAATAATGTTGCACTGTTTATCAAAGAAAAGAAAATAGCGGAGAAAGATTCACAGGTTTCTCTGTTTTCCACTTTGTCTGTCCTGTTGTGTTGAGCACCAGCTGTGCACACTTGAATTGAAAAAAAGTGTGAAACAAATGTAGATAAAGGCAAACTGTTATGTTGTCTTACCACAGCTACTCCGTGTGTGAAAAGTCAACATAGTAAAGGAACAATTAGTGAAGAATTTGAAGACCCCTTGAGACATTATTTCACACAAACATCTAAGTATACCTGGGCAATTGATGGAAGCAGCGAGAACTGGTATTCAGTTTAACAAAGTTAAACTTTTCAGCCTTTGGAAAGACACTTGGTATTTGCAATGTTTGTTATAAGATAAATGCAGTGCTGTTGCTGCTAGCCACAAATGAGGGGGTTTTTGTTTACCCCACTACTGCAAGCTGTACCACAAGTGGCATGAGAGTTTCAAATTTGTAACACAAGAGAAACCAGATCCAGAGGATAGATACAGGTTTAACTAGACTCTTTAATGCACAGTACATGCTTTCAAATAAAATTTTCACACTGCATTTTCTGCTTAAAAGCTGCTTTTCACTTTCCAAGCTGTGTACATCATTTTTCACTCCTCTGCTGCGAGCGCTTCCTTCTGGGACATCCTCATCATTATCAGTCAGGCTTGATATTGGCAGATGAGCTTAAGTGTCCCTCCAGCCAATGTTTAGAAGGAACCCAGGCAAGGATAGTGTGAGATCTTTTGCTAACAGATACAGTGGTATGAAAAAGTGTTTGCCTCCTTACTGATTTCTTATTTTTTTGCATGTTTGTCACACTGTAATGTTTCAGATCAAACAAATTTAAATATTAGTCAAAGATAACACAAGTAAACACAGCATGCAGTTTTTAAATGAAGGTTTTTATTATTAACACGTGTTCACCCCCTAAACCTAAACTGGTTGGGCCACCCTTAGCAGCAACAACTGCAATCAAGCATTTTCGATAACTTGCCATAAGTCTTTTACAGCGCTGTGGAGGAATTTTGGCCCACTCATCTTTGCAGAATTGTTGTAAGTCAGCCACATTGGAGGGTTTTCGGGCATGAACCGCCTTTTTAAGGTCATGCCACAGCATCTCAATTGGATTCAGGTCAGGACTTTGACTAGGCCACTCCAAAGTCTTCATTTTGG